TATTCATCCAGAAGGTTTGTAAGCCAGAAAGCTACCATTTTTCCTTCTTTCATCAAGCAGTGCTAAACAGTGGTCTGGGTAGGCAGGTAGGGAAGGAACCAGTTAAACTCTTCAGGAGGAGATTTTTAGTTTAGGCCGAATAACAGAGAGGAGGTTTGGTCACAGCTTGAAATGAGGTTTAGCAATTCTGATAAAAAAAAAAATGATGCTCCTATTCCAGTAACTTTAAGGAAAGAAGGAACAAGTCCTTGTGAGACTGTTGTAAGGCTAAAAGAGAAGCTTTAGAAAATGTCACTGGAATAGCTATGAAATAGAGATAAGCACAAAAAAAATTGTGCCGAGAAAATTAGACATTGCACTGGGATGTTTTTCCCCTCTTTTGCTTTGATCTTTAGAATGACATGGAAAGTCCATCATAGATATTTATTACAACTATTGAAAGAGGATTTATGAAATTGATTCATGAAGAATTCCATGGTTAGCTACAGGAAAGTTTGTGGGGAAAGATTGGAAGCAAAGAGAACACTCATTAAACCTGCAGATGATACCCAGCTCCTGGGAATGTGGTGTTTAGACCTTGGAAAAAGAATCAGTATTCAAAGTAACCTTGGAAAGTTAGGTGAATGATCAGAAAAATAATGAGAATAATGATGTCTAAAGCCGAGAAAGAAAAAAAGCACACTATACAGGGTGGGTAAAGGCAAAAGAATGATAGATTTTGGATAATTCTGTTTTAAATCTGACACTGCCAACCTGTCTTTTAAAAATATATGTACTTAACAATCATCAACAGACTAACTTTTAAAGCACATGGAACAAAAATGAGGATTTTATACAAAAAGATGAACTCTAACATACGTAGTTTACCCCTTATTTTTCAGTTTCCTCATTAGCAATAAAAGTACTATACAATACTGTTATTCAGAAGGTCAGATAAGATTATGTGTACAGAGCACTTTCATAGATTCATGGAATCTTAGAACTGGAAGAAGCCTCGAGAACCATTCATCCTTATCCTTACCTAAAGTAGTAATTCCACAATACGCCCAAGAAGTGATTACCTAGCCTCTGCTCAGAGCCCTCCAAGGACCTCACTTCCTCATAATGCATTCTACTGTTGGACAGCAATCATTGTTAGAAAGTTTTTCATTGTTTTTGAGATAAAATCTTCCTCTCTGAAATTTTCACCTTTTTGTTCTCGTTCTGAATTCTGAGAGGGCAAGCAAAACAAAGAAAGGAAAGTTATGTGGATGAACTCACAGGCTTCCTTGCCTGGACTGACTTGAAGGAAAACTGAGATTTTTCTCTGGCCTCCAAAGATGCTCACAAGCAGCAGTTTTGGGGGATGGTGGTTACCCAAGAGGATTTTTCCAGATGTTAATGTTATCATACTTGATATGCGTAGAAACAAAGAGGGCACTTGGAGAGTATGTATGCTGAGGGTAGAAAGTATTCTCAGAGTTCCTATGGGAGGAGTGGCTAAGGGTTCAGAATCCTTTCTCTTTCTAGGTCTAACACCAAGGGAATTCAGTGTATCAGATTGCCAAGCGTCCCTTTACCTATGACCTCTCCTCACCCCTGTCCCTGCATCCCTTTCTTCAGGGATGGTCGCATGGAGTATAACACTGGGTTACCTATATATTTATTGAATACAATAAAAGCATTGGCCATTAAATCAATGTTAAGAAGTTGTGAAGAAGGAAATACGGTGGGGAATTTCAGGGATAGAAATGGCCTACCCCCTTCTCACCTCTTTCATATGCCCACAGTGGTGAAAGCTTCACAGGCAACAGGGAATAGACAATCACAGAATCATAGAATTCCAGAGTTGGAAGGGGCCTAAGTGGCTGTCTAGCCTCACAAAAATTGAATGCAGGTGGAAATAGATTGCTAGTTCAGTGTTCTTTCTACCAGACCACTTAATCTACAGAGAAATGTTAATTATTATCTATGATGTAGGCAGAAGAAGCTGTAAATCTTCACAGATATATTGGATTCTAATAGAAGATACTAACAAGTTCTTCTGTTTCACTAAAAATAGAAGTGAAAAGAATAGATAATCACAAAATTGTAAAACTTCAGAAATGGAAGGGATCTCAGTGTTGCTGAGTCTTTTAAGCTGTGTCTCTTTGTGACCCTATTTTGGGGGAGTTTTCTTCAAAAAGATACTAGAATCATTTGCCATTTCCTTCTCCAGATTATTTTACAGATGAGGAAACTGGGCAAACAGGGTTAAGTGGGTGGCCCAGGCTCACACAGCTAGTAAATGTCTAAAGCTGGATATGAACTCATGAAGATGAATCTTCCTGATTCCAAGCCCAGTGCTCAATCCACTGTGCCATCTAGCTGCCCTCAGTGACCACATCGTTCAACTCTTATACAAAACAGAATCCCTGCTATTGAGTTCTCCTCTTGATTATTAGTTATCTGGCTTCTGCTTAAAGCTCTCTGATGTGAGGTAACAACTACTTCCCAAGAGAGCCTGTTCCATAATGGGATAACTCTAATTGTGCAGAATTGTTAGGACGTTTCCTCTCAAGCAAACCTAAATATGCTTCTTTGCAGCTTCTACCTTTTTTTATTTTTCTATTCTTTTTTCTTTCCTCTGTTCCTTTTTCCAGAACAAAGTCTAATCCCTCTTGCATATGATATCTTTTCAAACACTGAATAAAATTCTCATTGTCCCCATAGGGCTTTATCTTCTCCAGGCTAAACCATCCCAGTTCTTTCAAATGATCCTATCATGGGATGAATTTCAGGCTCTTTACCATCCTAGCTATTAACCTCTGGAAGTTCTACAATTCCAGGAGTGTGCTAGAAACAGCTCATACTAATTGATTAGTTAAGTTTTCTATGTGAGCAGTTACATATTAGAAATTGGCAAATGCTACAAATCAGGGTCTATCATTGTTTTGTTAATTATTGAGACTTAAGAAAGTGAGGGAGAAAATGTTAATGATGATTAAACTAAAAAGCATGCCAGGCATTTTTTAGAGAGTCATTTCTTAAGCATTTATTTAGTAGTGTACCACAAAATGCAACTTACTAACATCCTTCTTAAACTATTGTATCCAGAACTGAACACAATACTTCTAGTGTGACCCAAGCAGGGAAGAGAATAGCTGCACTATGACATCCTTAGTTCTTGTGTTTATGGCTTTTAATGTAGCCAAAGATCACATTAGCTTTATTGGGTCATGTTATACTGTTGACTGCTGTGGAGCTGATAGTCCAATAACTCCTAGATCTTTTTTCAGACACAGTTCTGCCTAACCTTGCCTCTCACATATTATACTGTGTAAGTAATTTTTTTTGAACCCAAGTATGAGACTTTTCCATTTATCCCTATTGAATTTCACCTCATACAGTTAAGCTTAATTTCCTAGCCCAGGGGTTGGCAAACTACAACCTGGGGGTTAAATCTAGCCTTAGCTAAGATCATTCTTAGCTGATGGGCTGAATTTGGCCTACAGACCATGGTTTGCCAACCCTTGTTCTAGCCTAGCCTATTTACATCTAATTCATTCAGTGTTTTAGGTATCTGTGTCATTTGAATATTTGATATCTGTGGCATCTTTGCATTTATTCTCCCTGATAAAAGTTAAAGCATGGAGCCAAGCACAGGGCCCTGGATCCCTCCACTAGAAACATCATTCCAAGTCATCAAATTATAAATGATTTTTAAAAAAAAAGTCTGGATGCTCAACCAGCTTCAAATTCATCTTTTTTTTTTTTTATCCAGCCCATATCTTTTCATTTTTTCAACCAGAGAATCAGGAAATCTTTTATGAAATACTTCAATGAGATGTAGGTAAGCTCTACCTTCTACATTCCCCTAATGAGCCTGTTCCATAACTAAAAAGAAAGAGACATAAGTTTAGTTTAGCATGACCTGTTCTTGATGAAGCCCTCCTGTATTTTTTAATGATCTCTTCCTCTTCTCAATGTTCATTCATGGTCTCTTTAATAATGTTTCAGAAATGACCAAGAATTGGAGTCAAGTGTACTAGTGTATAGTTTGCAGACTCTATTCTGTTCCCTTTTTTGAAAATTGAGAAAACATTTGCCCTCCTCCAGTCCTTCAGTAATTCTTTCATTCTCCAGGGATTTGAGTTGTAATGTGAAAAAGGTTTTAGGTTAGAAATTCCTAAGTAAAAAGGCATGTTTCCTGGCTGTACGGATTGTTGAATAATGTAATAGGTTCCTATGGGAGGCTGTAGAATCTCCTGGGAATTTTTAATAATTGGATTAATTGTCCTCCATCAAAGATCAGTCCATAGCATGATTCTGCCTGGTGAAACCTTGTTGTCCAATCTTGCCCTGAAATTCTATGAAGTAGATACTTTTTCATTTTTCTGTACTTGTGCATTTGTTTTTAACTTAAGATAATCTGTAGTGGAAAAATATAAACATAATCACATACCCAGTTTGGGTTCCCATTCTCCATTAGCATTAGCTTAAATGTGACATAGGGATTGAGAACTGAAGTAGCTCCTTCTGCTAATTAGACCTTCTGTAAATCTTCCTGGAGATGTTTAAGGTATAGTACCTTCTACTTCATGTAACCAGTAATAGCAATAGGCTTATTTATTTTTATTTTTGCTTTCATTTTCAGCGTTCTCTCCTTCCCAATTCCAATTCCTTCCTGACCACTAAGCTCATACCTGTTGATGCCCAGACTATAGATAGATGTGTATACACACATAGAGACATGTAGACACTTGAATTAAAGAGGTAATCTGAGAGAGACAACAGAGTATCCGAGGAATTATGTTCTTTAATTGATCTTACATGATCATATCCTTTCTAAGCACTTGGAAGATCATGAATACAGAGCTGGAAAGGATCTTAGAGCTTTCTACTGCAACGATGATTTTCTGGAGGAGAAGCCTGGGGCCTAGAGGGTAAATGATTTGCCAAAAGTCATACAGATAATAAGTATCAGAGACAGAATCTGAACCCATCCTGTTTACATAACAGTCTTTGCAACCATCATCCAGGTAAACATCTCCTGTGAAGAAGAGGCTGGCCATCCCCACCAGCTGCCAATCAGCTGCTACCTACAGTGTAGGCAGGCCAACCTAGCAGAAGCAGCAAGATCCAGAAGAAGAGACAGGAACCACCATGTACCAGGTGAGTCAAACCACCACTATCACCATAACCATCATATCCCCACATACCCCAACAGAAATAACTAAGGACTCTGAGCCTATTTGCCCTTGGAATAGTAATGCTTCCAGCCCAGTGCTATCAGTTATCATCTTGAAGAGCAACCCCTATGAGATGCAGCCTGGTTACCGCACCTGCCATAGCCACCATTGCTAACTGAAGACACACAAAAGGAACGTTTTTGTTACCGGAGTCCTTACCTCCGTCAAATGCTTCAAAATTTTAAAAAATGATATGATGTTGTCAGTGGAAATGTCATTAAAGAAGAGCATTACCATCTGCTTTGTCACTGTGTCTTGAGGACCATTGTACCTTTCCAGGACCTTTTCTTCTGATCTGAAATTGAAACCTTCCATATATGTAGTCACTCCCAGTAGAATATGAATTCCTTGAAAGAAGGGACGGTCTCATTTTTTTCTATTTCTATCTCTAACACAGTGCTTTGCACAGGGTTAGGTGCCTAATAAATACTTTTCCATTCATTTATTCATTCTTAACCTGGGGCTTTTAAACAAAATTGATAACTATTTTGCTCATTGTTTGTTGTGTCTAACTCTTTGTATCAGGGTTTTGGAATTTCTTCACAAAGACACTAGAATGATTTGCCATTTCTTTTTCTAATTAATTTTACAGATGAGGAAATTGAGGCAAATAGTGTTAAGTGACGTGCCCAGGGTCACACAGGTAGTAATTACCTGAGGCCAGGAATATGAGTCTTCCTGACTTCAAGTCTGGCACTATAGCCATTACACCTCCTAGCTGCCTGATAGCTGTTTTAATAACATTCATTTCCTTTGTCATCCTACATATTTTATTTTATACACTTAAAATCTTTTAAATATTTTAGAAACATTTGTTAAAATGCATTTTATGCATTTAAAAACATTATTCTGAAAAAGGGTAATCTTCACTCAGCTTCCAAAGGGGTCCATGACACAAAAAAGATTGAGAACCCTGATGCAAAACCAGTGTTTCTCATAGTGTAACACATTGCTGCTTTGATGCTGTTTTTGAAAATGTGGTCACTTTACTCTCATGGCAATTGAAGGTAATTTAGGAGGCTATCTGTTTAGAAATCATTGAAAATACCCTAGTTGTTAACTGTCAGTGAGTTACCTTCTAGCTGCTGTTTAGTGTGAGAGAGGGAGTATCATTACATTCCATCTCTTCCCCCTCAACTACAGAGAAAACAACAGGGAAGGTACAGTTATAGGACTTGTGATTTCAACATTGTATGATAACTGATTCAGAAAGATGGCTTACATTAAAAAAACAAAACATGACTGGATTTATTCCAAGGGAGGAACCTCTACTGACCTTCCGATCTGGCATAGACATTGGAATTCACAAGAGATGATGTTGCCTCCAACCTTCAGGGAATACTAAGGCCCAGACTCTAACAAGGAGAAAGATTAGTACACATATGCTAACTAGACCAGCAATAATGGAAAGAGATTAGAGGTCCATTGGTCTTCTGAGCTCTGCCTTGTCACTTTCTTGATTCTTGCTTTCCTTCTCAGAAGGCAGAAACCCATCCACCCTGGACATTTTGCCATTTTCCCTGCCATTTATTAGCTTTCCTCATCTGAAACAGCACCTACAAGAGCAGACCTTCAGAGACCATGCCTTGGGAAATTAATGCACTTAGCTTTGGAATTCCACCTTAAGCCTGAGATGTTCTGATTGTTGAAGGCAAACTTAACAATCCCGCTGTTCATACCAGACATTTTCTATCTCCCTGGATGTCCTTTCTCTTCTCCCTCTTTCTAACAATAGTAATCAAATGTTACTACTGCTTCTGGATTGGGCATGACAACTCATTGCTTCCTGACTTCAAGTCTGGCACTATATCCATTACACCATCTAACTGCCCGATAACTATTTTAATAACATTCATTTCCTTTGCAATCCTAGGTATTTTATTTTATACACTTAAAATCTTTTAAATATTTTAGAAACATTTGTTAAAATGCATTTTATGCATTTAAAAACATTATTCATCTTCCAAAGGGGTCCATGACACAAAAAAATTGAGAACCCTGATGCAAAACCAGGGTTTCTCATAGTGTAACACACTGCTGCTTTGATGCTGTTTTTGAAAATATGGTCATTTTACTCTCATTGCAATTGAAGGTAATTTGGGAGTCTATCTGTTTAGAACTTCCTAGACCCATATTATCTTTTCTCCTCCTCCCCCCCTCCACCTATAATTTGGGAAGTCCACATATTCTCATGCAAGATAGCTTCAGATGAGCCTTAAAAAGGCATTCTAATTCTAGATAAGATCATGCATTTAATGTACTTTGAAAATCTTAAAGCCCTATGATTATACTTATTATTTACAGCAATACTTGTTTGCTTTCTATCTTTAGGGTTAATTTAATTTAATATAATTTTATTATTCATTATTTATTTTTTTGGCTAGGCAATGGGGTTAAGTGACTTGCCCAGGGTCACATAGCTTAGTAAGTGTTATGTGTCTGAGGCCAGATTTGAACTCAAGTCACCTTGACTCCAAGGCTGGTGCTCTATCCACTGCCCCACTGAGCTACCTGCTAGGCTCAATTTTTAAAGGATCATATATTTAGAGCTAGAGGAAACCTCTGGTTCCATCTAGTTCAACCCTGTTTCATAAATGAAGAAACTGAAACAAAGAAATTAAATTATATGCTTAAAGTCATACAGGTAATAATTGGCAGAGCCCAGATCTGAATGGAGGTCCTGGGCCTCTGAATCCAGCTCTTTTCCTACTTCTAATTTTAATTTAATAATCATATTTTTTTTTTGGAATTGTATGTCTGTACTTAGAAATTTTCTGGAAGTCCATGTGCATTCTGTTTCTCATTAAATATCTCTCCCTCTCTCAGCTGAACAAAATTGCCTGTTTATTCAGTGAGGTTCAGCCCACCAATTGACTGTTGCCAAAAAGATAAAGCAGCATGATGTAGTGGAAAGAATACTGGACAAATAACATTTTATCTCTTTAGGAAAAGGGACTGGCCCTGGGATTTCTTGGGTATAGGGAAGTCAGTGGATAAGGAATCGCCCTCTGCCAATGGAGGTCAGCACCTTCTTCTCTGCAACTTAGGGACTCAAATAGTTACATGGAACACCAATAGATAGGTTAAGTGATTTGCCTAGGGTCAAAACTAGAATGTGGCAGAGACAGGATTTCAACCCAGGTCTTTTGTCCCAAGGTCAGCTCTCTATTCAAACTCTGGCTCTAATATTTAATAACTACATGTCTAAGGGCAAGCTATTTAACACCTCTTTAACTCTACAAGGAGATCAAGACTCATACTTTACAAACAAAGACTGCATACTTTAAGCTTGTTGTGAAGAAAAGAATCACTCAACACACCTAATAATACACTCACCTCACACTCTAGGAATGCCTCAATTCCAAATACATCATTTCTATTCACACCTAAACCCCCTGCAATGCTAACTCATTGTGTGACTTTGGACAAATCCCTTTGTCTCTCTAAGACTGCATTTTCTCATCTATAAAAAGAAGGGATTGGATTGGACAGGGTGATTTCAGAAGCCCCACTGTATCTAAGATTCTGTTCTGTGTTTTAGAAGATAACCAAACCAAGTCAGCTTTTTACATTTTAGCAAATTCTGCAAAGGTAATATCTGGGTTGTGGATTACTAAATTCCCACTACGTGACCCTGGGAATGGAAATCTTTCCTGGGAGATCTGAACCTTAAATCTATTGCAGTTTCTAGGGCTTCTCAACAGTTTGGATCAACTATGGTAGAGATGAGGGATTTGGGGAGGAGGGAGGTTAAATTCAAAGCATCTCATTTGGTGGAAGAGCATCTGGCAGCTGTCAGAGGTGGACTATTTCCCCTAATTGCCAGTAGCCTTTTTTAGATTCCTCTGTGGACAGGTAGACATAAGGACTGTAAATATAGCATTTCATGCCAAGGAAAGTATTTTAAGTACTGGTCCTCTTGGGTGCAATATCTGAAAATTGTAAGCTTTAGATTTCCCTAGATAAGCAAATCAGAATTCCTTTGAAACTAGTTAGCTGGACTCATAGGCTAAAGGAAACTAGAATAAGAGACTATAAACTGAGACATGTCAAAGAAAGAGAGATCATGGCATAGCGAGATAGTATATAAGCACCTTTAGAGCACAAATGATCATTGCATTTTTGTCCTTGTATCTTTAGCATCTAGCTTAGTACCCAGCACGTGATTAATAAAAGTTTGTTGATTGACTGATAGTATCTAAAAAGATATGACTTTGCAGGGAGTAAAGGCAAACAGATTAAGATTTTTTGATATTATCAAGTGTTTTTTTTTCTTGCTATGCACTGTAACTGGTTAGTATTAAGTCTTTTTTGGCTTGTGTGATTATCTTTGATTGCAAAAATTACTCTTTTTCTCTCTTTTCCTTCTCTAGGCAAACTCTGGTTATCAGACAGGGCTTTTGAATTTATTCCAGACCTGAAATAGCATTGTCAAATTAACATCAGAGTGTGACAAAAAGTCCCTCACACTCATGAAGTGGAGAAACTATCACAACACAGCCTAAGATGCCTTGTTCAAGAAGAGGGGTTGGTTGGGAGCCATCGACTTCCATGAGCCGTCTGTTTCTGCAGCAGTGCTGAAGTGGCAAAAACAAACACGACTTTTTCAGAGGGCTAATTCCTTTCTTTTCTTTGTCTGATTCCTTGTCAGCACAGCTTTTCTTTGCTGTCTGCAAGGCTGCTGAGCATAATAAAGGCTGGGAATGTCTGTCAAGTGCATTTCAGGTTACACAAAGTTGTATTTTTCCTTGCTATCCATTTTGGTGATATCTTGATTTAAGGGCAACAAAAATTAAGTATCGGTCAAAGTCCATGGATAGGGCAGCTAGGTGACACGGTGGATAGAGTACCAGGCCTGGAGTCAGCAAAACTCATCTTCCTGAGTTCAAACCTGGCCTTAGATATTTACTAGCTGTATGAACCTGGGCAAGTCACTTAACCCTATTTGCGTCGGTTCTTCATCTTTAAAATAAGCTGGAGAAGGAAATGGCAAACCATTCATTGTCTTTGCCAAGAAAACCCCAACTAGGATCAAGAAATGTTGGACATGATTGAAATGACTGAACAACAACAGCAATGTCCATGGTAATTCAATTCAACAAACGTTTATGAAGTAATAATAATAATTGTACCTAATGTTTATATAGCACTTCAAGGTTTGCCAAGCACTTTACATATATTGTACCATTTGATACTTATAACTGTTAAGTAGATGGTATTATTATCCCCATTTTATAGATGAGGAAACCGAGGCTGAGGAAGATTATGTGATCTTTCTAGGGTCACACAGCTAGTAAGTATCTGAGGCGGGATTCAAAAACAGATCTTCACACATCCAGCACTCCTCCATTGTGCCATGCGAAGATACAAAGACAAAGAAGAACAGCATTCCCTGCCCTGATGCCATTCTGAGGTAGGGGATGGGGAATAGAGCTTGCTCACAAATAAGCAGAGTGCAGGAAAAACTGACGCTGCATTGAGCACAACCACTGGGAGACTAGGGAAGGCTTCAGGAAGCAGCACCTGGTTTGAACCTTGAAGGCAGGCAAGAGTTTTGAGAGGCAGAGGAGAGGAGAAAGTGAAGCATGGTGGATAGGAATGACTTTTGCTGGTCTATAGAACTAGGAGAAGGAGTTTCAAGTTCCAATGGAACAGCTGATAATCCAGCTGCACATTGTGGTTTTTGTGAAGGGCAAGTGTATGAAATAAAATAGGAAAAGTAGGCAAGATCCAGACTTCAGAGGAACTCAAACACCAGGCTACAAAGGACCTCAGTCCTTTGTTATCCATGTTAACTATTTTAATGTGGTTTGTGTATTTACTTTTTTTTCCTTTTGAGTTTTGACTTTGATTAAAAGGAGTAGAGAAGGCTCCTTCATTTCAGAATCAACATGCTCTTGGAGGTCAAAGCAAAATTAAGTGCCAAGGTAAGCAGTGCATTTAAACTTTATTATGTATTTTCCTTCAAGTTAGCCCAATACAACATCATACTTACCCATTAGTGTGAGATTAAAGATTCTAACCTAACTCTACTTTCTATTATTTCTCTGCATTTCAGCAGAAATGCATAAAATAAATGGAAATTTTTAAGTAAAACCTTTGGTTTTACATTTTGACATTGCAAAGTTCTAATTTTCCTTTAGGCTTCTCCTTTGTCATTTTTTTTTGTGTGTGTTTACCTTTTAAAAATGTAACCGTGGGATACATAAAAAAAAGCATAGGCTTTAGAACTGTACAATAGATCTGTTTAGGACTTAGACTGGACACTGACAAGCTCAAGTTTCATAGATCATCTGATATTTATACAAGCTTTCCATCTAAGTGCCTGTGTTCTGGGAATTAAAGTTTGGTTGACCACTAGTTCATTGGAGAGTATTCAGTGAGTGCTTTAACTGGAAAAGCAACATTGTTGGGTACTGAGAGTTGGGGCAGGCCAAGGACTTTTAAGGGATCATGTCCCAATTACATAGAGTGGAGATTCCATAAGAACATAGATTTATAACTTAAATCCCCTCTACTATCTGCTCTCATTTTATAGATGAGGAAACTAAGAGAGTTTATATGACTTTCCCAATGTCAAAACCACACAGGTCATGCACTTTACAGTGGTTTTAAGTAGTAGAGCTGGTTATACATTCTTGTAGAAAATGTTCAGCTTTACCAACCTAAATAAAAAAAAAAATTAAGTACTGAGAAATCCCATAAAACCAGTAGGTAACCTCGTGTGATAGAATTCTATTTTACTTTACGCCAATCTATACCAGAGTAGGGCTCAAGAGAATTCTTGCCTTCCATGGCAAAAATGAAACATAATTCAATGTGATCCAGATTTTGCTAAATACATGTTGGGAAATGTGTGTTTCTTATGTATCATAGAATCCCAGAGCATGAAAGGACCTCAGAGACCCCTAGTTCACCCCATTCCTTGCTAAGAATTTCCTTTTTGGCATCTTCAACAAGTGATCTTTACTAGAAAATGTCTGACAATAGGAAACCTACTACTTGCTGAGGTAGCTCAGTTCAATTAGGGCTGTAACTTTTCAGAAATTTTTCTTTACAACAAATGAAACCCATCGCTCTTCAGTTTCCATCTATCACTTTTACTTCTGCCTTCTGGGAACAAGTGGAATAAATCTCCTCCCTATTCCCCATGACAAACCTTAAAATATGTAAAGACAACCATCATATCTTGCCTCAGTCTTAACTTCTCCAGGATAAATACCTCCAAGTTCCTTTGGCTAATTCTAGTATGACGTAGTCTCTAGTCCTTTCACCATGAATCAATCAATCAAAAGAACTTATTAGGTACCTGTTATATGCTAGTCACTAAATCAGGAACTGAAGATACAAAGCCCCAAATAAAACATTCCCAGTCCTTGAGACACTTGGATTCTATCAACATTTTTGTAAATCTTCCTAAAATGTGGTGTCCACAAGTAAACATGTATAATGTATGACATCTTCCTCCTTATCTCCCTTTCTCTCAGTCTGGTCCCTACAGTTCTGGCTGTTGTTATCTTACTTTCATTTGAAGCAATGAAGAATAAGATTTCTCTTAGCTACAAGGTCCCCAATCAATAGCTCCTAGCTCTTCCCACCCCATTCTGCCCACAGCATAAACCACAAGCTAGTAAGAAAGGTCTGGTCTCAAGTTCTTGACCACAAAGACATCCATAATCTAACTGCAGCAACCGTAGCTCAGTGGAAAGCCCTAAGCAACTGTGACTTCCCCTTTTTTTCCCCACTTCCTTTGCCTCAATCCACAGTGATATTCCTTCTGACAGCTCAAAGGGAAAATGGAGTCTTCTTTTTAGGTACCAACATAGCACTTCTTCTAAAGCCAAGTACCAGTGTTCTTAAGGGCTTCCCTGCAGTCGTACAACTAATAAGTGTCCAAAGAAGAATGTTAATCCGGGTATCTTCTGACTAAAAGTTTTTAAGTCTACCTTTGAGGCATTTTTGTAGTAGAGGCTGAGGCTAGAGTCAGAAATACCTGAGTTCAAAACCAGGATCAGATATTTATTAGCTGTGTGACACCGGGAAAGTCATTTAACCTATGTGCTTAGTTTCCTTGACTGTAAAATGCTCATAACAATAGTACCTACCTCCCAGATATATTGTGAGGATGAAATGAGATAATAATGGTAAAGTGCTTAGCATAGTGCCTGCCACATACCAGGCACTCAATAAATATTCATTTCCTTCCTTCCTTTAAGAAAGCATGCTATCTCAAAAGGAAAAAAAAAACAACATAAAACCCAGAATTAATAATATCAGTATTGCTCCATGGGGCAATACAAACATAACAAATATTTTAAGACTTGCAGTATAGGATAGACCCAGGAACTGAAATGTTCAATTTTGTTGATGTGACAAAACCCTTTTGGTAGTACATTTATTTTTATAATATTCCCTGTGGGAAGGAATGGCATATACTTGTTCTCAAGGATTCTACTGACATATATTATAACTCCAGTTATTTAGAGAGGGTAAGTATCCATTCCCATGAATATTATGGAATTATGGAAATTATGGAAAGGTTGGGAATAACGAAAGGAGGAAACAAGGCAGGGAGAAGAAAGCATTCAGAAATATTGTCTGTTTTGGAGCATACCAGTCAATAGCTAGGAAAATCTGAGACTATTTATTCCCTCTCCCTTGATGTCTGCTCACTGCAGCTGTTGCTGATTCTGTCTATACTGTGGCACTCCAATAGATATTATCACAAAAATGTAGGTATTCCCTGCCCTGTTGTAGATCAGACCTCATCTGTGCCTGAACATCCTGTTACTCTCATTAATGACCTCCCATAAATTCACCACTGGGGGGGGGGGTCTACCCATTATGCCTTTCCTCTCTTGCTTTTGATGTTGTCAGAATGCCAATGAAACATATGGGCTGTTAAATCAGTTGTTTGTCACTCACACTACATGACCAGCCCATCTTTTAATTATTCATCTCTTCCATAATATCCTTTATATTTGCCAAGTCATATTCTGAGGTCTCATCATGGGATGGGGTGACTAGAGGTTCTTGAGGCAAACTCCAGCGGGTTCTGCCATTTTAGAAAGGGATAAAAAAGAGCCTCAGGAACAAAGTGAGTCTATTTTCTGAGAACCAGTCCAGCTAAATGAGAAGAGGTTCATCACTAGTAGGTTGGATACTTAGTGAGGAATTTTTTGACAATGGCAAAAATTTTAAACATATACAAATAAATATGTGTATATATGTGTATATATATATACACTTACATACATACATATATGTATCTATGTATGTTTTGCACATATATATGCCTTTATGTATATGTATATATGTATACACACAATATGTATATGTATGTATATTTGTGTATACACACACACACTGTATGTGTACATACAAACTACTGTATAATATATATCGCTAGAATCCTTAAGAACCAGTATATGCCATTCCTTCCCGCAGGGAATATTATAAAAATAAATATTCTATCAAAAGGGTTTTGTCATATCAATAAAACTGAGTATTTCAGTTCAGTGTGTAGCGATAAAGATGGCACTTGTGGTTTCAATAGTATAGGGAACGCCCAGGTAAAGAAACTCTCACTAATCGTGCATATCATCACTCTCTCTTCAACTTACAATCTTAAAGAGTTACCTGATCATTAAAAGGTTAAGTGCCTCATACAGGTGACCTTGCACAAGAGAATGACCTGTATTTTGGTTAAAC